GGACGTCCACCTTGCCATGTCGACTGCCTTCCACCCTCAGACCGATGGCCAGACCGAGCGTGCCAACCGCACCCTTATCACCATGCTCCGTAACTTTGTCGACCAACGGCAGTCTAACTGGGACCTCTTACTTTCCGCCGCCGAATTTGCCACGAACAACGCCACCAATGCCTCCACTGGAGTCTCCCCGTTCTTCTTGAACTCCGGAGCCCATCCCAACATGCCCATGTCATTGTTGACCCCTACTCCCGGCCCCAACCCATCGGTTAACGAGTTCGTGCAATCTCGAAGCGAAGCCCTCACCCTCGCTAAGGAGTCCCTTGCTGCCGCCCAAGAACGTCAAGCAGCCAACGCCGACATCCATCGGCGAGAGCATGATTTCAAGGTTGGTGACCACGTTCTCCTTAACCTTGAGAATATCACCTTACCCTCGGACCGCACCCGCACGTCGCAGAAACTCTTGGCTCGCTTTGCCGGCCCCCACACCATTGTTGAACAGCTGTCCCCGGTCTCTTTCCGCCTTGATCTTCCACCGTCCATGAAGATTCACCCCGTCTTCCACGTCGACCGATTCCGACGCTACCAACCATCACCTGCGACGCTAGGACCAAGAACACCAGCACGGCCACCACCGGTTATCGTTGAAGACGAGGAAGAGTATGAGGTCGAGGCCATTGCAGATCATAGGAAGGTTAACAACAACATGGAGTACCTTCTACAATGGCAAGGATACCCGCGCGAGGACTGGACATGGGAACCAGAGAGTGAACTGGCACACTGTTAGGACATCCTCAACAAGTACAAGCGCGACCATGGCCTTAGGACTTAGCGGATTTTTTTAAGAGGGGAAGGTGCAACATATTAGGTTTATCATTGCTCTCTAGTTAGTCATTCCTTGTCACTCTCTATCATCTCTGACTTACTATGACACCACACCTAGAAACCTAGTTGGCAACTTCTACTAATACAAAGCGACTGCACCGATCACCTGATATACGTAAATCATGTGATGATCTTTCTTTCTCTTTTTCAATGTGTGTGTGTGGTGTGTGTTTGGTGTATGTGTGCAAGTGTGCGTTTTTTTAGTTTAAAGTTAATTAAATTAAAAATGAGAGATGGATGAGGGTTGCAATCAGAGCCATACCGGTAAGCAGATCTGCCGGTAAGCATGTTAAAATGCGACTGCGGAATGAGAGCCATGCCGGTAAGAAGATTTGCCGGTAAGCAGTAAGCATGTTAAAATACGAAAATGGATAATGGAGAGAGTAGAGCCGATGGCTTTTCTTTCTCTTTCACGGGCAAGCATATTTTCTTTCCTTTCCTTTCCTTTCCTTTCCTTTCCTTTCCTTTCCTTTCCTTTCCTTTCCTTTTCTTCCTCTTTTTTTTTTTTTTTTTTTTTTATCTGTCAGTAGCCAGTATGACTTCCACTCGCTCTCACCGTGTCACTCTTACCACCACTTCCGCGCCCGATGTCGTTCCTTCTACGACCTTTACAGGATACAGACGTACCAAGGCGACCAACTCAACAAGGTCGATCTACTGCTACCGCGCCCTCTACTTCCTCCACTCTGCACTCCCTTTCCACCAAATGTACCACCACTATCACCACCAAACTCAATGCCATCACCCCTTACTCTTCCTCCTCATTTCTCCTCTTCTTCTTCCTCCTCTTCTTTATTTCCCGCTTTTCTCTCTTTTCCCTCCTCTTTCTCCTCCATCGGTAGGTGTGCCAAGTATCGTGGACGTGGAAACGGCCACCAAAGGTTGACAAGTTGTTACTGTCCCTACTATAAATGAAAACAATCGGTAATTTTAGGGCAAACAGACCACAATTGCTCGGATTGCCGCCTCTTTGCAGCACAACTCCTAATTTATAATGGCGACAACTGCGAAACAAGCTTTGATACTATTTCAGACGAGGATGCTTACGCCGCAATTGCTGACGTGGTTCAATAGTTTGAGACTACAAGTTAGACAACGGTTCAGTGGGAGGGTGAAGGGGGTGAAGATGGGCCATCGATCAGGCGGCGGAGGCATTGGTACCGGGAGAATGCTTCCAGCCTAAGGCCTACCATTCCGGCCCATTTAGGTAACATAAGCGACAACGACGACCTGCTGATGGATTTTTTTGTTTAAATTGAACCTTCCCATAGGAAGGCTCAGTAAGGAGAGAACAGCCCCAGTGGTGCAACAAGCCACCAGGGTTTTTTTATTTCTAAAGACGGTACTTGAGAAAGAAATGTGTAGGGGGCAGCGGCAAGACTCTGAATTTGAGGGAAGACTTTGTGCTGTAGAAGAGGGGGGAGCCCTCAACTCTTTGAGTGTAAGATGAGGAGATCATGCGCCAAGCCAAACGCTCTCCTAGGACTCGAACCCAGGACCTCAAAATTGCGTGGAGGACGCTTTACTACTACGCCAAACGGGATCCCAAGCCCTCGCCTGCTGAAGGAGAACAGCCGGCTGACACAGGTTGTCCCAGTCACGCATGATTGTAGCAGCCACGCATGGTTCCAGCCCGGCGCCAACCATTCCGACCCATTTAGGTAACATGAGCGAGCTATTGCCATCGCATTGCATGGTGCTCCTCAGTCCTCTGCTATGATATGTAATGCTTGCAGAGAACTCCGTCACCATTGTTTACAACTCATCCGGATTGCCTTATGAGCAGACAGCGCATGATCGTTGCAGAATCTCTTGCTCCTACTCCTTCCACGATCCTTGCTGCTTCCGTTGCTCCTGTTGCTCCTGCTGATCTAAGTGTTTTTGGAAATAGAATAGCTGTTAAGAATCAGGACAACACAGTGTACATGATCATGGGATCGATGAGCGTGGTATGCTCTAATTGTGTGCTTTACATTGGATAGAGGTAACCGTCTACGATATTACCTACAACTATTCTACATCCTCCTTTATTTTTATTGATACCCGATTTAATCACTTCTTTTGAAAACGCAGGAGTGTGTTGGACGTACAATCGCCAATCTACGCTTCTCTGCTGTCTAAGAGTCAAAACGCCGGTCATTAAGCTTCCCTTGATGAATTACAAAGCCTTTCAGAGGTGGTACCTTTTTCTCCGGGCTATTTCTTGCAACCATCCGGACCTTCAACAATGCCATTGCCTTTACGTCCTTTGGTACCAGCTCAAAGAACCGTGAAATGCATTGACAGAGGGAAGCAAAAAGAAAAAAGGTATTGCAAGTGCGATAGAAGACTTTGAAAGGATGGAGATATGGCACGTACGTTGCAAGGGCGACGGTCGAATAGGGGAAGACCCAAGAAATAACAGCTCGAGAAGAAGGCGGGTTTGAGCAAGGGAGGGAAACCGACAGGGACAGGATTTGGCCCGCCAAGGCAACGAGTCGATTTGTCAAACAAAGTCTGAGTGACGCGGACGAGAAGGTTGTACAACATTTACATGGTAAGATGGTATTGCATTTAAAGGAAAGAAAGGAGACTGCTGTATAATATCTTTGACCCGAGATCTCGACTCATCACACCTGATAGGTCGCGTTGGGGATGCGGGGGGCTGGCTCGGTGTTCGCCACTTCATGGCATTCATACGACCCAAGTTGTGTAACTATAGGCATTCGGGCTCCCAGGGGTCCCGTCTCACACCTCCTTCCCGTGGCCATGGCTTGGATCAGTCAGGCCTGGCACGCCGTCACGAGTTGTGGAAATATGACGTCAAAAAATAAGGAAGGGAGGGCAAAACGAAAAAAAAAGTGAAGGCAGAAAAAAAAATCAAATAGAAAAGCGAGAGAGAAATGAGGAACTGACAATCATAAATAAACTTTGCAATAATCAACCACCACCACTTTTTTGTCAATTTACACTTGCCCCACACCTCCGCGAGCGAAGCCGCGGGTACCATTCTAGTGTAATCCATATTAGGAAAGACTAGCGTAAAAATTTTCATCACATATGGACATGGCACCGTAGACAATGATCCACAAGTGTCCTACAGAGGACGGACTACTTGCATTGTCATAGGTGCCATGGACATATGTCCCGCCCTCACCACCCTTGCTGTCGAAAAGAAGAGAAGGAACATTTTGTACCGAGGGATCCAGGGCTTTTATTATTTTTAGTTAGTTTTTCGTCGGTTAAAAAGGAATATAAGAAGTCACACATATGTCCATGGCACCTATGACAATGCAAGTAGTCCGTCCTCTGTAGGACACTTGTGGATCAAAGCACAGATTGGGAGCACAATGAGAGCAGAGTAGGTTAGGCACCTGTTGCTGAAAGAAAAAAAAGAAAAAAGTAGAGAAAAGTTAAAAAGAGAGAGAGAAAAAAAAAAGAAAAAAGAAAAAAGATAAAAGAGAGAGAAAAGGTAAAAGAGGGAGAGAGAGGAAAGGTAAAAGAAGGAGAGAGGGAAAAGGTAAAAGAAGGAGAGAGAGAGTAAAGGTAAATGTAAAAGACGGAGAGAGAGAAAAGGTAAAAGAGGGAGGGAGAGAGATCAAAGGTAAAAGTGGGAGAGAGAGAGAGAGAGAGGGAAAAAAAAGGTTAATGAATAGGGGTGGAACTACAATTTCCTTTTTTTTCCATCCGATACACCTTTTTTCATTTCGTGATGGTTTTTTCTTGTTAGAACCTCATCCTCTTCATCAGTATCATCATTTTTTTGTCTTTGCCTTTTTTTTGTGCCTTCCTCATAAACGCTATCTTGTTCATATTCCACTTCAAGACCACTTTCCTTTTGTTCTTCCTCTTTGTCGGAGTCATCTTCAACCTCACTCTCTACGTATTTTTGTTTTCCTTTTGGTTTTGTTGGTTTCTTGTTGGCGAGACGTTGTTTGTGAGGAGAGGGGGTATGATGCTCTTTGCTCTGTTCGTGATCAGAGTGGTCACTGGACGGCGGAATGACAGACCGACGTGAAGAACCCTCTCCGTTGTCAATCGACTCTCGACGCGGTGACGGAGAGTCATCTTGGTGAGCAGCAGCCCAATGCCGCCACGCCTCCTCAAAATCTGCGGGGACGTCACCGTCCGGGAAAAGATTATAGATCAATCGATTTCTTCGAGCCGTTCGAACCGCTGGACAACAATCCTTTTCAGGCAGCGGATCAGGCACGTTCAATCGCCAGGACAGACATCGACCTTGCCAAGAGTTGATGCCGTTCAGAAGAGGAAGACCCAAGCAAAGACGGCACTTGAATCTTTCGGCATCATTCCCAAGACAAAGCTTATGTCCTTTAGGTGGCCAATGGTGGCGGCACTCCAGAACAGTGTTTCCAGACTTGTCCCCAAAAGTTGTGGGCAGTGATCCTCCTGTATTATAAAAATTGCCGTCCTGCAGAGTGTAGAACTGTACACCAGTGCCGGATGAGGCAAGGTTTCCGGGGATAGGGACAGCCGCTGCAGAAGCACTGGGCTCAGAATCCTTCGGGGGAGACGCAGCTACGGGGAGGGGTAAGGCGGCATCCGCTGTGTCACGGGCACCGCTTGCGGGAGATGAAGCGATTGATCGAAACGCGGTGGAGATAGTATTGGTGTTGTGAGCCGATGTTGCCTTGATTGCAGCTTTTGGCTTAATGCGATCGTTACTTGTGGCAGGATCGTACAGCGTTGGATCATGGTAGGTGATATTTGTGGGAACGGCATCATGCTGAGGCTCATAGTAGTCTTTGACGGGGGCATTCGATATATCTTGGCGTTTGGCGAAGGATTTTTTTTTGGGGCTGCGTGGTGGTCGCGAGTAAGGATCGATAGACGGCGCCGAGTAGTTTGAGTGCAAATACTGTTGATGAGAGAGTGAAAAAGCGGGAGCTCGATAATAGCGTGGATCGGAGGGATGATAGGAGTACATCTCGCCATTAGGAGGGTACATAGCGGAATGTTCCGATCCTGTGGGTTGTTGGAAATACGGGTTTGGTGGTAAAGGTGCCTGGGAGTATCCGTAAGGGTTGTACGGGTATCCATTGGGTGGAATAGCAAATGGAGACCGGACAGGGGCATACCGAGCGCCAAAAGCAGGATCAGGATCGTTGTATAAGACGGCCGGATCGCCATCATCGGAGCCAACATGATCGTGAGCGTCATCGTCGGCACCATCATCTTCATCCTCGCCGTGATCTTCATCGATTTCATCAACAACATCCTTCTTCTTCCATTTCGAGGAGGAGGAGGCAGGGGTGCGCTTGGCGGATGACGACTTGCCCTTGGGAAAATGATCGGTCATGCTGCCAGTACCACTCGCAGCAGCAGAATGTTCATTCCCATTCCTAGGAGAAGCATATAAATAAGAATGTAAAAAGAAAAAGATTGTAAGTATTAGTATTTGGTGAAAACATAACAACAGGTTAACAGTTATAATTGTACGAATTCGTCATACCTGCCAATGGTCTTTCCGTCTCTTAACTGTAGCGTGCGCATAGTAGGCTGTGATTTTTCTGTTTTTGAGATGGTCTTCTTACGGACACCCATTTAGAGCAAACTGATCTGAGTAATGGCAAGAAGTGTTGTGGAATGGAATGAAGTTAAGAATGGAAATGATGGTTTGCGGAGAAACAGAGGTCTTTTATATGTTTTATCAATAATAACGATGGCGTGGCGAAGCAAACCCAATTAAGCAAAGGAAAAGAATGAATGCTGGCCAACAGTCCGATTTGATATGCGTGTAAGATTATAATTCAGTACCGTTTGAAATGCCGCAACGTCCGTTTCGAATGCCGAAACGTCCGTTTGAAATGCCGAAACGTCCGTTTGAAATGCCGAAACGTCCGTGGAAGGTACAACACCACGCACACCCAATGAATGATAGCGCACCAAAAAAAGCTACATTACAACCAACTTGCGCAACCATACCCACCTCATCGAGTTCTTTATGCTGGCTAGGGCCTGCAGTATGGGCGAAGTACATATGCATACTAAACACAACCACAAAACAAACAGAAAAAAAAGTTTGAAAGCAACCCAAGCCAATGCTCACCGCCGTCATCACTAACACTAACCGCCTTGCATTTGCATACAGTTAAGAAATAGAAGAAGAAAAAATTGGGAAACGACTAACACTCAATCACACACACCCACGTACCTTTGCACCAACCCTTTATTTTTTCGGTACCCTGCGAAAATGCAAAAGCGCGAATACACGTTACACATACTCACAATACTCACATACGTTGTACCCTGACAATTTAATTTGTGCGAACAATACGCTATATGGATGCAACCAGATCTTAGCCATCCATCTTCGGATCCATCTGGGCCGTTTGTGCAGAAACAGACACAAATAATTCGATCGCACTATCGATCATGCCACATTCATATTCAAGATAATCATAGGCAGCGACAACCTCCTCCTCCTCCTCCTCCTCCTCCTCCCAGCCCATCATAATAAAATCATGGTCCAATTTAGACCACATATCTTCTTGCCGTTCTTGCCACCATCTATCGTACCCCAACGAATCATCACATAAGGAATCCGAGGACGATTCCAACTCAGACCTTGAATCATGCGGCGCAAACCCGATTATAGTAGATACCGAATCAATAGGATAGATGCCACTAAAGCACAAATATAACAAACACATGCAAAAAGTCCGTTATTAGAAAAAAAACACTCAAAACACACGCATATGCAGAAACATGAAAAACACTTACTCATCGTCCTGTGCCGCAACAAAATCAGTAGCTGTCTGAGCACAGTCATTGCAAAGAGCATCAACAGCAACAGCGGCGTCGGTCATATCAAGAAAAGCAGCCGAAGACTGAATTGGAAAGAGGAAAAATACAGGCAAACGCACCAGGGATGTAGGCGTGGATTTTTGCGACTCCTTATTTGATGTTGTCAAAAAAAAAGAGGTAGGTGCGCTGAATAATTGTCGTTGTCGTTATCGTGTCGTTGCCCAAAGAAAGGAAAGAAAGAAGGAAAGAATCATGGGTGCCGAGATGACACACAGAAAGATAATAGAAGGAGAAATGGATAAAACAGGTAAAACAGCAAACAAACAGACAATGAATGAAGCAAAATGAGCCCAATACACCCAATGCACACAAACTTACCTACAACGATAGACGTGTGTTGTTAGACAGATTTAAAAGTGAAAGGTGCAGAATCGAGTAAGAACAATGCCTGCCTGAGGTGAAAGAAAAGAGTAGGCATAAGCATAAGCATAATAACAAAGAAAGAAAAAGAGAAGAGAAGAGGATCGTGATGATTATGTGTGTTAAGAAAAGGTCAGAGCAAGATAGAATCAGAAACAGAGACGGGTTTAAAACATTTATGTGTACAGTTCAGAAGAAAAGAAAAGATATCAGGGCAAGATAGAATCAGAAACAGAGATGATTCAGAGTGCGTAAGTCACGTTTTCAGGGGCAAGTTCTGTTATTCCTATAGTATTATTAGCATTAGCATTATTCCTATAGTATTATTAGCATTTCACGCGTAGCTTCAGCCAATAAGAGAATTATGGCGTCCATTGTCCTGTAACCTTGTTTATTCTTGCAAACGTCTTTGAATTTCTGCACGTTCCTTCTGCAGAACATCGATGGCCATAACGAGTGCTGCGTCCTTGTCCATGAGACTACGGAGGTCTCGAGAATTGGACTGAGATGAGTGATTATTCTCATCTGTCTCGAAAGCAGCTTCATGGCGGTAGGTTTCTTCTTGTCCGATCTCTGGCATGATCTCGACATCGACATCAGGGAGAGTGTCATCATCTACTGGTAAGGGTTCGTAGTTCATCGGCTGGGTCTCGTCCTTGCAAACGGCATTGGTAGCGACAATCTCAAGAGCCTTGTCGTACATCTTCGGACACGGAGGAGTCTTTCTAGACGGATATCCGGCGACGTGATAACCAAAAATATAGCGGTTGCGATGAGAGGAACCGCACAAGCAGACATATTCGTAGTCGACCGAAGGATCTCGTCGAACAGAGAATTTAGCCCCCTCCAGGCGAATAGTATGTATTATATCTTTGTGGTAACGGTTGAAGTGCTCCTTGCCTTTTCCTGTGCTGTCGGCGTTGTGTCCTAGACGACAGTGGTTGTAGGGACAAGACTTATCCTCGTCTAGAATTGCTTTTTTGCGTGGGGTTGTCCTTTTCCGTGAGGTTGGCTTTTGGCGTGGTGTTGTCATTTTGCGCGTTGTAAGAGCAACCAAGGCTGTTTGTACCTCATTCTCTAATAAACATCCACGCAGCACAAGTCCCTCGACAGTACACTTGCTTAAGGAAACGTCACACTGTATTGTGTGTACAAAAAAAAATCATGGGTCACTCATCCAACAGTACACTTCTTTAGGGGGCGTCAAGGTGCATATGGTGTGTAAAAAAAAAAAAAAAAAAAACAATCACGGATCACTCATCCAACAGTACACCGCGCCCTTGACATAAGAGCGAGATCGGCTCTTATGTTGAGTTTTCTATTCTATTCAATTCAATGAGAGTTTTTTTTTGTTACTTCTTTTTTCTTGATTTTTTAAAAGAAATTCCCAGACATCTACGCCGTGTAAGATAGAAAATTCAAAATGGCCACCTAGGCCGTGCAACGTAGAAATAAATTGGGGAACATCACGCTCAACATGTTTAATCATTAATTGCATGCAACTTGAGATAGTCAGTCATTACTTCTATATCAGCCATGACTCTTTTCTCTAAGCTGGCCAGGTATTTCATCTCCCTGACTTGAAGATCGCTATGGTGCTTTCTATGGGTGGTACTATAGTGTCTGAGTTCCGTTAACATGTCATCCGCTGGGATCCTAGGCAAAGACTCCTTCTTCTTCTTGCCCGACGAGGATTGTGAGGTGTCCACTGGTGGGAAAACCGGGGTTTGCTGTGGCGGCGCCTCTTGTGATGAAGCAGGTTCTTGTGACGAAGGTGTATCAGAGGGGGGTTCCGAGATATATTGGCCTGACCGACGGTCCATGACACGCTGCTCGGGGGGTATCGGCTCTTGAGGAGCAGTGATAGGTGGAAGATACTCGTCATCTGAGAGGCCGTCATCGGAGACATCACCCAGTTCTTCCATGGGAGGTAGGCGAGTGAAAAAGGACTTGTACCTCTCGTCAATGGCAATCTCGTCGATGTATTTTTCAAGGTGAACAGTTGGGCCTCTCCGTGACATGCTCTTAAGGAAAAGGAGGATGCCATAGTCAGTCTGGCGGTTAATGGTTGGACAGCGGTCAGGATACAGCTCTGCCAGCTCACGTTTCAAGTTGACCAACTCATCATCCGGGGTTATTTCCATGGCAGCAATCTTGAGGTAATCTTGCATGGCCGTAGGAAGAACTGGAACTCTAGCAAAACAGTTGCGGATGCAAGACAAAGAGACGCGGTTCCATGCCTGAGGTAAGCAGGCCCACAACGGGCCCCTGGGAATCTTGGCTCTGGGGGTATCGTCGAGATGACGATAGTGAGAAATGACGGGAATCATAAGTCGACTGTACTTGACCTTGAAAGACATGATAATACCAGCATCCAAGGGCTGTGATACAGAGGTTGTGTTCTTGGGGAGACGAACGAGGGTAATGTTGTCCAAAAGTAGCCCCGTTTCCTCCTTCTTTCCATGTCCAGGCGCGTTGTCAATAAGCAAGGCAATATTCCTCCCCTGCCTGCCCATATCCGCATCAAGATCCCCCAGCCAACCCAGGAAAATCTCTGTGGTCATGTATCCGGTCCCGTGGTACGATGTGTCCAGTTGCGCTTCTACTTCCAGATCCAGATCCAGAGGACGATAGGCAGCTAGGTAAGTTTTAAATGTGAATAGTCAGAAGAATATTTTGACGCATGGATAAATCACGTCAATACAACAATAACTTACATAAGACCAGTGGTTTGCGTTTATCTGTTCCAGTTGCGTTACAGCAAAGCAAAATGGATACTCTTGCGTCTCTGTTTGGTTTCCTCCCACTCACACGATCTATCGATAGAGTACGATTTGGCATAACCTTGAGGTACAATCCCGTCTCATCGCAGTTATACACATCGGATGGATCATAGGCTGTGAGTTGTTCTGCGATTGCTTCAAAGGCCGGTCTATGAAACTCCATGTCCACGTCTCCCAATTGCCCGCGACCGGTTTTCATAGTAAGCTGGTAGATATTCTTGAAGTTCCCAAGCCATCCTTTAGAAAATCCGAAGCCCTGTGGTAGCGTGTTGTCGTTTTGCCGCTCAAGAAGACGCACATAGAAGTAATAAGCCAGCTCCTTGGTCCGGCTATCGTTAACGGGCACACCTTTATCATAGCGTTAACTCAAGTGGTAATTATTGCAATAGGATAGAGAATACTGTGAAAATGCAGTTTGTACATACCCAACGCGCGATCATCCATGATAGCGTTATATACGGCTCTCTCGACAGTCTCCAGCTTGCGCGGGAACATTCTGAACAGGGTCATCCGTCCGGGAGTATTGTCTTTGTAAGAGACAATGTTCTCTCTCTCTCTCATGATCCTGGTGGCAATGGACTTTGGATATTTAAA